ATGTGAGACTTTTCAGGTGTCCACTGGCCAGTCGGGATAGGCAGGTGTTGGTTTGCCTGTCACCAGGGAGAGATAGAGAGAGTCCTGGTCTTTTTGCTTTATACCAGTAGTGAATAGGTGGAAGCAGCCACTTTTGTTTATTCTGGGCCTTTTGCCTTGCAAAAAGTTCAAGGTATGTAAGCTCTGAGGTGGAGGGGACTGGATGGTCTAGTCCCTTCTTTGCAAGAGTGTCAGCCAANTTGTGGTCCTACTTGGAAAACCAAATTCGTGCTGCCACGCTACCCATTCGCAATGTGAGGGAATTGCCGGACCAGTTGGTGAGCGCTTGGTACCAGATACCTCAAACTACCTATCAGCAGCTTGTGGAATCAATGCCATGGCGGGTGCTAGCAGTTTTGAGGATTAAAGGTGGTCCTACATGTTATTAGCAGGGTGATCATAATGTAATGGCTCTTCGGTGTATATCTGATGATGGTTTCCAGCTTCACCACTGAGGATCATGAATACCAATTCCACTGTCGATTGTTCATTGTAAAAAAGTTTGGTGCATAGTTGCCACCATTTTTGGTGATGAGTTACAGTGCTTCCTCCAGATGGTGTTCCTGCCTTGACGGGGCGGTGAGGCTTGAGCGCACCAATGACCCGGAGGGCTATGCCGGAGGTAGCTTGCTACTGGTAGGGTCTCCCAAGCCGGACAGGCCGAAGGGTAGGTGCCAGACTAAAAAGAACACCACCAGGAGCCAAGACAGTCTTCTACCTCACGGTGCTCCGGTCTTTGGACAACAGAAGCTGCATACCCCTTCCCATGAATCAGTTGACAAAGCAATTTGTTATTTATGTTGAACCATCAAAAATCAGCCCGAATTCTTATATTGGAATGAAGGTTACTTATGTTGGTTACCATCAAAAATATAATGGTTCATGATATAAATATTGATGGTCACCATTAAGATTTTGTTGGTCTATCAATGAAAAACCATCAAAATTTTTGACGTGGCTCTGAATCACTATTTAGTAATTTTAATTGTATCTTTAATGATTGTAAATGTAGGTGTACAAATAGCTGTGTTTATTGCAATTTTAGCTGTAATTATTACCCTTTTAGGTGCTATAAAATTTGTGATTGTAGCTTTACAAGTAGCTGGCTTTATTGCAATTGTAGCTATAGAAGCAGCTGTAATTATTGCCATTTTAGAGGAAATAATTGTGATTGTAGCTGCTCAAATAGCTGTAACTATTGCCAATTTAGGTGCGATTATTGTTGCAATTGTAGTTGTTATTATCAAAAATGTAGGTGTACAAGTTGTGGTAATTATTGTAATTGTGGCAATACAACTTGAAATAGATTTCAGAGAGGTTACTAATGCAATACAAATTTGTCTTCATTTAAAACCACTTGTAAATATCTAAAAGTACCCGAATCCATTATTAAATGTTTTGCTTCTTTATGAGTGGAAAACTGTGAAAGGAAATAAAATTGATCGAGATCTGTTCAATCAATTTCAACTAATTGAATTGGTTTTAGAATATTGTGGATTAATTTTCGGGACTCACAGTTTCCTTCAAATCGTTTTACAATTTAAATAATTACATATTACTTTATTTAGTTAAAGTTTACAATTATACAATAATACAAAAGTTTCTGAACATGTAACAAGAAGTTCTTAGAAATATTTGAAATTTAGAGTAAAGCATTCAATTTGAGATAATTATTAAGCAAAAGGTGTTCAACTGAATTATTAGTGTGTAGTGAATTATTAGTGAAGTAGTATTAATTTGAAATTTTATGTAATCCTAAGGGTGGTATACTTAATTTAGAATCAAATTTAATTCAAAACTATGCCAGTGAAAAAAAATTGTGATGTAGTAAATATAACTCCTCACTATTTTGATGTAGTAAATATACACACAATAATTATTATAACTTACAAATGGTAAAAAGTAACTTTTATGTACGACGATTTACTTCACAATTACTGCAATTGTAAATGTACATACAATGCCAGGACTCTATCTTAATGGTTTAAAGGGAAAACCTCAGACCTCAAACAACACACAAAAACATACTTTCTCTGATTAAACATATCTTTTGTTTTCGATGGATTTGGATTTCTGAAATAGGCGCATTTTTTGAAATAATTTCCCAATAGCTTTGTACCGAGAGCTGTCGAAAGTTAGGATTTCTTGAGAACTATCGAAACTTTTTAGCACACAACTGTGAAATTAGTTTATTCAAAGATAGTTCTATGTAAGAAATGATTTTAAATAATTATTTAATGATTTTCATTATTTTGTTTAATAAGAGCCGAAAAAATTATGAATTGTAAGAATACAAATGTTACCATTATTTTGAAAATTGTAGTTTTATCTGGCAAAATACAAAACTTGAACAAAATCAAATCATTAGTTCCTGAGAAATTGATTTTTAAATCGAATGGTCAAAGTAAGAGTAAGAATTAGGAAAATTAACATTAACTGGTTCCGCTCTTCTGACCAAACTATCGTTACCATATTACAGTATTTTGAGTGTAAGGAATCCAAATTAGTCGGGAAGAAAAAGTATGTTTTTTAGAGAAAGTTTATTTTTGTGTCTGATTTTTTAACTTAAAATATTGTCTACACCAGGGATGGTCAAACTACGGCCCGCGGGTCAACTGTGGCCCGCTGGAAGGTTTAATCAGGCTCGCGGATAGAATTTTAACTTACCAATCGGTGACGAATGTAAACAATACGAGGGTTGCTATTTATATTTCTGCCTTGGCAACAGTAAATGTTGCTAGGCGACCGCAGACGATTTTAATCGAAAGTTTAATATTTTTAAACATAAATTCAGCAGACGATTTACCATTATAGCTTCATTTGTGCTGTTGACAGTAAATTGAAAAGTTCTTCTCTTTCAAAAAATGGAATTGAATCGTGAACATTTTCGTGCCATTATTTTTCATAGCTTTCGACGTGGATTGTCAAGACAAGAGTGCTTCGATGAACTTAATTCTTTATTCAGCGATAAAGCGCCATCCTACAGCACTGTAAAAAATTGGTATAACGAATTTAATCGTGGTCGATGTTCGATCCAGGACGAATCCCGTGCAGGTCGTCCAAAATCCGTTGTTGTGCCAGAAAAGATCGATGCTGTGCGTGAACTGATAAAGCAAGATCGTCATGTGACATACCGTGAGATAGAGGCGTCTTTGGACATTAGTATGACTAGCATCAATAAAATATTGCATGAACATTTGAGCGTAAAAAAAATTTGTTCGCGTTGGATCCCGCATAATCTGACAAACGCTCAAAAAAAGGCTCGTGTCGATTGGTGCAAGGAAATGTTGGAAAAATACGTTCAAGGTACATCAAAGGCTGTGTATAACATCTACACAGGTGACGAATCATGGATCTATGCATATGAGCCGGAAACAAAACAGCAATCAACTGTATGGGTCTTCCAAGACGAGGCAAAACCAACAAAAGTTGTTCGAGGAAGAAGCACATCGAAACAAATGATTGCCTGTTTCTTCGGCATTAACGGTCATGTGGCAACAGTGGCGTTAGAGCAACGCAGGACGGTCAATTCTGAATGGTACACGACCATTTGTTTGCCAGAAGTCATCGGAGAAATTCGAAAAAAGCAGAAGAACAGGCGAATCATTCTTCATCATGACAATGCGAGCTCTCACACATCGACTCAAACAAAGGCATTTCTGACGGAGCGAAAGATCGAACTGATGGGTCATCCGCCGTACAGCCCTGATTTGGCACCCAATGACTTCTTCTTATTCCCACACATCAAAAATAAATTACGTGGACAACGATTTTCGACCCCCGAAGAAGCGGTTGATGCATTCAAAACGCATGTTTTGGAGTTACTTCAATCGGACTGAAAAAGTGCTTCGAAAATTGGTTCAAACGCATGCAAAAGTGTATTGAGCATCATGAAGAATATTTTGAAAAAGAATAAAACCAATTTCGATCCTACATATTTGTTTTTTCTTTTTAGGCCAGAAATATAAATAGCAACCCTCATATGCATCCATTTTCTTGTCTACTTTGTTTAAAGCTATTTTTGTTCCTTTTTAACAAAGTACTGGTAACATTTTTCAAGCATAAGATTGGCGCCATCTGAAGCAGTTGTTTCTAAATATGCCAAAGTTTGAGTTTTACAAATCATTATCAAGGGCTAATTTCGCAAATTTAATATCTCATGCCCAGAAAATCAGTGCTATGTTTACTTCATCTTATATATCTGTGAACAAGTGTTTTCAACTATGAACCTTAGAAAAAAATCATTTCAGAAGAAAGTAGACTAACAGGCAAACATTTAGCCTCGTTCCTTAAAATAAGTACATCTCATTCGGAACCTCATTGTAAGGAACTTTTAAAAATGAAATAGCAATTTCATTCATCTCATTAAATATTTAAATTAAAACTTATATATCGTTTCTTTATTTTAGAAAATTTTACTTAGCCCACCAAACTACTTTTTTCTCTCGATTTTTTGCCCTCGACCAAAAATGTTTGCCCATTCCTGGTCTACACTAACTACATAATTAGCATATTTGAGGTCATCCCCTTAAACCTCAATTATGATTGAGTCCTAGAGCCTAAAAATTAGATCACTAGATTAAAAGTTATTCAAGATGTTCCTTTTTTATTCATATTGTATATACAACGTAAAATTCTATGAAATTTCCAAATCTATTGATTTTACTTGTTTTTCTTAAAATTGCAAAGCAGCTTAGTATATTAAAAAAATTCTTTTTTTATTGGTTTATTCTATCTTTGCCAGTTGTTTTTAAGGCTTAAAATACTTCGTTTTATTACATAATAAACGCTGTTTATTAAAAAAGTTTCGAAGAAATTTAAAATTTTAGTTTCCAATGCTTCGACATTGATTTCGGTTTCACAGAGCCACAAAATTATGCTTATCATGAAATTACAGTATCCACAACATGATATTTTTCAGTGATTTCTTCCTTCGCTCATTTGCTTTGATTATTTTTCAGGTTTTTTGGAATATGAAAATTAATGTTGATGCAAGCAATAAAAGAAGTGCAGTTGAAGATATATTGAAGCCTTCACTTTTTATTGTGATTAATTAGAATCGACTACGTCTGAAAATATAAGAGACAAACGTAAGTGAAAAAAAAATCTTACTAATTATATTTTCTTGAATATAATTCAGAATATAAATTTTAAAAGACATTTTTAAATGTTTTTATATGCAGGGTAATGTCTGCAATTTATAGTAATGTAGCTGCATGCATTTATTATTATAAAAGCATTCATTATATTAACATGCATAATCTCATGTAACGGAACGGATAAGCTTGGTAGCGAATTCTAAAAATTTACATCTTGAATTTTTGTGATATTTTCATATTCACCGTAAAATATGGTTTAATAATCTGTGATAAAATTTGGTAAATGTGTTAAAACTTGGTATATTTAGCATGATGTGAAAAAAATTAATCAGGTTAAATTTGCTGTCCGATTTTTTACTAAATGTATGGTAATAAGAACTATAATTTTGAAAAATAGAAATTCCGATAAGCCGTCGGCATATGAACGGAAAATTTAAAGACCGTATATTTTGGTTTTATTAGCCAAACCAGATTTATTAACCAGAATTATATTTTTGGTTTTTATTAACCAGAACTTATATTCTTTTCTTTTACTTTTATCAGAATCATAATAGCATTTTGGTAAATTTATTTACAAAAATCACTTCTTTGGTCAGTGGTTTATAATGCAATGTGCAAACAGTCTAAAGTGACAAAGATAATAAATTAAGTTAATGTTCTAATAAAGTATATGATTTTAATTAAGAATATAGTAAGTTAGACCAACGCTTCCAAATGATGTTCCGCGGAACCCTAGAGTTCCGTGGAAGAGTTAAAAGGGTTTCGAGAGTTAATACCCCTTATAACCAGTGATGAGTTTTGAAACCTCAAATTATTTTTAGATCCAACCAATAATTTATAATTTATCTAATCTTAATTTATCTAATAACAATAAATTAAACAAATTATGAAACGAACAAACAATTATAAAATATTGCATTATGGCAATATTGTATTAGTATTTCTCTTTATGCTTTTCAAATCAAAATAAAGAGAGAAATATGCTTCTCTAATAACCATTTTCAACGTAGTTTTAAGTTTTCATTTCGAAGTAAACTATAATTTGTCTTATTTTATTTTCAGCTTATGTATATACACCAAAATCAAATTCATAACTATAGACTAAATATAGCATTAGAAATACAAATTCAACTGTCTGACAAGAAACATAATTTTAAATTGTCAATAATAAAACAATTTACAATCTTCATACCTCTAATTAATTATTTAAAATTTTAAGAAAACTTGTCATTTATATGCTATACCGTTCACAATTACTTTAACACGCTGAATACCACTCTAATTTTACACGTCTTGCTCGTCTGGCCACACTGTAAATAACTACAAGCTAAATTTGCAAATATTAGACAGATTTTGCTAGTTTTTAAAAGGTTTAGCATATCTGAAAAAAGTGGTGGATTATATAAGCCTACGAATTGGTTAGAAATAGTGGTGGATAAAAATCTACTAAATTGAATTTATTAAATCACGAATCACAATTAATAAACTACCACTTGAAAATATTCATTCGCTGCCCGGAGCAAGTTGGCATCTCTGTGTATATAAATAAAACTATTTTTGTGTGTTCTACATTTCATTAATTTCTTCAAATCATTTTAGTAACAATAATAGTATTAAAAAAATTAAAAAAATGTCTCGAATTATGTGTTTCTAATAATCTTGGCTTCGCCGGTCACGGGTGACCCCCATGGCATTCAAGGTATTAAAAAACTTCATTCATAAAGTCAGGGTTCTCCGTGCAAAGATGGTAGATTATTTAGGGTTCCGTAGCCGAAAAAAAATTAGGAATTTCTTTCTGAGTAAGACTATTTTCGTCATTTACCTCTTCGTAGAATTTTGGTAATTTCTTAAAAGTGGTCAGCAGCCCATAGGGCGCAAAATACCAGCAGAAAAACCCTAGAGGAACATAATTTCAGTTATTTTTTCCCTTTTTATTTCCCTCTTTTATATTTTCTCTTTTTGAAAGAAATATATTTTTGGAGTTTTCAAGAAAACACATGAAAATAAAAATAATAATAAAGTAAGCGTCCAGGCCTTTCATTGTCATTGCAAGTCCCTGGCGAGTACTTTAAGAAACTTAGATTTTATTTTCTTTATTCTTCTTTTATTTTATTTATTTATTTTTTTTACTCCTCATCTTTTCTTTCATTTTATTTATTTTTCAAAAAAAATTCTTCTCAGAAGTTTGCCCGCAGGCAATGCTGACATCGCAGTGTGATAAATGCTGCACTTTATTGTATTGTAAATTGAAGATTTCTGACGTTTATTTAAGTATTTTCTTTATTGTATTTTAAGCTGGGCTCTGTTGAGGGAATGGTTTAATTTTAAAAGTCAATGTTATCAGTGATTTTTTTTATATTTTATTGTCGCGTCTTTTATTTCGAATTGTTTTTCTTTTCGCTTTAATGCAATTAGGCGTTTATAAAGAAATAAATTCTCGGAAAACTAACTCCTCTAATCTTTGCTATTCTGCACAGAATTCCCGAATGCTCGATTCAGAAAACTAATTTTAATTTAACTACTTATATATAAAAGAAAGAAAATGCTTTTCTCAATGTTTTTTTTTTTTTCGTTCGAATTTTGCAAATTCGGTCCCCGAGAGGAATTATTATTTGCTTTTGTCAAATTGAAAGACACTGAAGAAATTCAATAACCAAATATAATTTGAAAATTTAGCTTTATCAGAGAAGTTTTATTTCTTGAAAAATAGTATTTAGAATTAAGAACGAAGCTTTATTTGACAACCGATTCATTTTTTGACTTTTTTAAGAAAAGTTTTATTAGATTTGCAATAACTATTTGGTTTATTTAATGTTTTCTGTCATTTTCAATGACTTCTCGAAAAGTTTAGTTTTTAATTTGTTGTCACAAATTTGTTTTGAAATGCAAGTTTTGTAGCACCTTACATGTTTGGTCACAAAACTATTGTTTAAGAGGAAAGTAATCATTATGTTATCAATATATTTAAAATGATTGATTAAGGTGTTGACTAAGTCACCAATCTCCTTAAGAAGAGGCTATACCACTGGAGAAACTTTTAATTGCGAATTATTTTTCACCTTCTTAAGTGATTTAAAATTTAAAGTATAAAGAAAATGAGATCAGGAGTTTTAAAATACTACAACGAAATTTTCATAAATATCGAAATGAAAACAAATTGTGAAAGGATGTCTCAATTTTTCGTAATTGGGAAGTTCTCTTCTAACATTTTAATTTTTAACTTAGTTTTTGAGTAAAACAGAATTTGTAATGAAAAGTTTCTCCCGTACTTCCGCGGTACAGCGTCCTCTTAAACTAGGCATAAATTGAAAGGAAAAAAAATTAACAAAGGTAACCTGCTTACAAAATATCCTCCTGAAAATGTGGTGTTATTTTGAACTGCATTTCTTCCAGAAAAACTATTTTTTCTAATAACATTTGAAAATTACTAATTCTGTTTTTTTTCTTTTAATGAAGAAAAAGTAACCTGATTACAAACCATCCTGAAAATGTGGTGTTGTTGCGAACTGTATTTCTTCTTGAGAATCTATTTTTTCTAATAACATTTAAAAATTTCAAATTTCTGTTTTTTTTCTTTTAATAGAAAAAAGTAACCTGATGACAAACCATCCTGAAAATGTGCTGTTGTGAACTGCATTTCTTCTTGAGAATCTATTTTTTCTAATAACATTTAGAAATTACTAATTCTGTATTTTTCTTAAAACAAAAAAAAGTAACCTGATTACACACCATTCTGAAAATAAGGTGTTGTTGTGAACTGCATTTCTTCTTGAGAATCTATTTTTTCTAATAACATTTAAAAATTAATAATTCTGTTCTTTTTCTTTTAACGAAGAAAAAGTAACCTGATTACAAACCATCCTGAAAATGTGGTGTTGTTGCGAACTGCATTTCTTCTTGAGAATCTATTTTTTCTAATAACATTTAAAAATTACTAATTCTGTTTTTTTCTTTTAACGAAGAAAAAGTAACCTGATTACAAACCATCCTTAAAATGTGGTGTTGTTGCGAACTGCATTTCTTCTTGAGAATCTATTTTTTCTAATAATATTTAAAAATTTCAAATTTCTGTTTTTTTTTCTTTTAATAGAAAAAAGTAACCTGATTACAAACCATCCTGAAAATGTGGTGTTGTGAACTGCATTTCTTCTTGAGAATCTATTTTTTCTAATAATATTTAAAAATTAATAATTCTGTATTTTATTTGTAACAAAAAAAAGTAACCTGATTACAAACCATCCTGAAAATGTGGTGTTGTTGCGAACTGCATTTCTTCTTGAGAATCTATTTTTTCTAATAACATTTAAAAATTTCAAATTTCTGTTTTTTTTCTTTTAATAGAAAAAAGTAACCTTATTACAAACCATCCTGAAAATATGGTGTTTTTGTGAACTGCCTTTCTTCTTGGGAATCTATTTTTTTTAATAACATTAGAAAATGACTAATGTTTTTTTTTCTACTTTGAAAGTAAAAAAATATTTTTAAAGCTATAATGATTTTAATATCTCATTCTGAATATTAAATCATTCAAAATTTCTAAATTCAGGAAATTTCCAATACTTAAATAAGGATTTCATTTTGAGCTTGGATTACTCAAAATTTTTAGATCTGTGATATTTTAGATGATGTAGTAACAATGTCATTTTGAATTTAATTCATTCAAAATTTCAAACTCCATGCTATTTCGGAAGCTTCGCCAATGATGTTATCATTGAAGACTACGAAATCTTTTTCTTTTTATGAAATAAATTAGCCATTTTTTCTGTGAAATTACTAATAATGTGAATCGCTTGTCGTACATCCTATTTTGAAATATCTATCATACGTAGTAAGAGCGATGTGAAAAAATAAGTATTTTTGAAAATATTTCTTTGTAAAACTACAAAAAACAAATCTTTGTGCTTAAAAGAAAAAAATTTATTTGCCTTTTTCCTTAGATATTTTATATATTTTACATATAGTTTATTACTAGGTCTTAAAATAAACATATT